GGAAGCAGCAATCAAGAAATCAAACAACATATTGCATTATGCAAATCTGCTGCACAAGACCTCTTTAAAGTGTTCAAGAGCAAAGATGTCAGTTTGAGGACTATGGTTCACCTGACCCAAGCCATGGCATTTTCAACTTCTACATATGCATGTGAAAGTTGGACAGTGAATAAGAAAATCATAGAAAAGTAGATACATGTGAGTTGTGGTGTTGGAGAAGAATATTAAAAGTACCATATTGTTGTTGCTATGTACCATGGAGTCAGTTCTGACTCCTAGTGACCCTGCACAGGGTTTCCGAGGCTCTAAATCTTTACGGGAGCAGAAAGCCTCATCTTTCTCCCACAGAACGGCTGGTAGTTTCAAACTGCCAACCTTGAGGTTAGCAGCCCGATTCGTAACCACTATGCTACCAAAGCTCCAAAAGTACCATGGAGTGCCAGATTAACAGAAAAAAATCTGTGCCAGAAGAAATACAACTAGAATGATCCTTAGAAACTAGGATGGTGACACTTCTCTACACTTTGGAGGATCAGCGAAAAAGAGGAAGACCACAATATGGATTGGCGCAGTGGCAGCAGCAATGGGCTCAAGTGTTAACAATAATTGTGAGGATGGCTCAGGACCAGGCAGTGTTTTGTTCTGTTATGCAAAGGGTACCATGAGTTGGCACTAAGTGGACAGCATGTTAACAACAATAACTTAAATGGTTTAAATATAGTCCTTCATAGAACAAATAAGAGTCTGTTCAATATGACTTTCCTATCTAGGGCTCTGGTTGGCAATCTCATCCAAGATAGTTAGGATAAAATTAATTCTTTTTTTGGCTGTTTTGAAAATCTGTGGTCTTTTATTCATGTCTTGGGAAAAGGATTAAGCTGAATTTTACTCAAGAGTGCTTACTATTTTAAATACTAACATAAAGCAAACTACATAAAAACCATTTTTAAAGGTAGTTTTCATAAACCTCATAGTTAAATAAATGTAAATGATCTTCCAGTAGTCACTATTTACCTAATACTCATATCTGACTGTCTGGAACGATCTTTTCATAAGGCAGTGAGACTTGCCAAAAGTATTCCATTATCAGTTCAAGAATGTGATCCATCGAGATACTAATGATTAAGAAGTAGTATAGAATTGCCTGTTTTAATGTAAGATTGTTTCCTTCTATCTTGAGACTGTTGAAGTAAGTTAAAAAATCCTCTGGTCTCTAGACATTAATGTAGGAAATTACCTTATTTCACATAGGTATTTATTTATTAGTAGTTGAGAAAGAGGCATCTATGTTCCACAGTGAAAAGCAAGATGCTACCTCTCTTTCTTTAATGTTTTCTGGCTTTTTTTTTTTTTTGGTATGAAATCAAGCTACTGCTCGTCTCTGATTTGGTGAACAGTTTTCACGCTAGAGAGCAAGGCTTTGTTAGCAAGTCTGTAGAATGGATGAGAAACCTGAAATCAAAGTTATTATAAAGGCAGAGAGTTTACGATTCTCTTTCCTGGGTTCTTGGGATAATTAAATAAATGCAATTTCAGAGTGACTAAACTTGAGTAAAGCAATCAAAATGTTCAGAGAGAGCAGATGCCAAGTTCAGAAAACATGAGCTAGTGTTGGGAATAAGTAAGTTACTTAGGATTCCATTTCTATCTGCAGTCTCGGTAACCCAAGGTATAATCACATGTTGGGAACACAGCCACTTACCTCATAAGGATGCTAACAAAATGAATGAAAACAAAACAAATTGTGCTTTTTAGAAGAAACTCTTCTCTCTTCTCTGTGGAAAATCTTCAATTGAAGCTTTTTAATTTCTTATGTAGTTTACACTCAGAAAGCAAAAGTCTCTTAAGGAAAAGAAGTTTTCCTTTTCTTAGTGGTTTGCTGGGTTCAAATATGCCAATTGAAACTATGACAGTGATTGTATTTTCAGTCTCCCTGGGAATATTTGACAGATATTTGTACTCAGTAGAAAGTACGATGAGAGGTGAGACTGTCTAATAGAGATTTCAGTCAGTCTGTTATTTCTATCTGAATTATTTTGGGGTTTCATTCCAAAAGCTATTAATGAAATGAATTGGGGAAAACACAAGAATCTGTCTGGACATTTCTGGGGGGAAAAGAGAGATTGTGCCCATGATTTAGATACAAAAACAGTCCTGAAGAAAACCAAGTGTATGCCAAATCAAGTACATGCCATCGGCTGCTAAAGTGGATCTGACAAACACTGTTGGGCAATAATAATGGGATTCTGAGCATGTTCTTAGATGGACTTTTATAGCTTCATGTCACACAATCTTCGTTTTCTTCCCAGAATGCAGTTCTAATGAAGTTCAGCCATTAATATGCTCAAGTGCTAATTGACTTTGATATTTAACCAAAGTTGTGTAGACTTTCCTGCCTCCCAGACCCTAAGTCCATTCCACTTACTTTAAATAGTCAGGCAGCATTCGACTTACTACATTTGATTGGTACCATTTCACTGCAAGGGAAGAGGAGGTTCAAGTGGTCAGAAGACTGAAACCATCCATTTCTATGTGCCACTATGGCCATGGGCAATGAGAAGATGGTCTTTCGAAAAGTCCCCAAGTAATAAATAAACAAAAGGTCCTCAGAGTTGAGTGTCTTTTCTTTTATGGTCAAACTTAAGTCCGTTACCTGTGAAGCCTTCACGGTGCCCTACCCAAATGCATCACTGAAAACAACATCTCCTTGGGAACTTGCTCTTTAGAAACTGCTAAACTTTTCTTTTCACTGCCCCAGACTAAAGACCCTTTAACAGTCACCAGTGAAGAGCCTATGAAATACCACCCACTCCACCTCAATAAAATGCTCGCTCCCTCAATTCTGACAATTGTATTTCTTCAGCTATTAATGTGTGATATTCTCCCCTTCTCCAAGGTCTGTTTGTGCATCTGTTTATTGACTCTCCAATGACAGCTCTTCTTGGACATTGACTATGGTAGGAGGAGATGCGCTGATGGATATCTGTTAGGTGGACATAGGCACAGTCTACATATGCCTCTACTGGCCCCCTGCCTTACGCTTATCATGCCAACAGTCCCATCAGCTTCTCTCTTTGGACAGATAGCTTTTGGAGGTGAATGCCCAGCACCTATGAATGCCTTCTTTGTAAACTCATCTCTAGTAAGAGTATCTTTTTCTACTCTGCAGCCCTGAGACCACAGCTGTGGATTTAAAAATCAGTCCTTATTTTCATCCATAGAGGAGAATCCTCTAAATCTGTGTGCTGGATTATCTATGTGAGAGACACTTTATTTCCTGTGATAAGCCTCACATTACATTTAGGCTTACTGAATTTTTCTGCTTACATTAAACAGCCTTCTGTATTTACCTATTTTGGAATATTGTCTTAGAAAAATCCAACTTGTTTTCTCTTATAAAACTTTTCCATGACTTAAATTGAAGAACTAACTTTATGTAGAGGTTTGTTACCCTAATCTCATTCATCTATATGGTACTGATGTCCTCTTAATTTCACTGTTTTCTCTCCTACTCTTGAAATTACCGAGTAAGAGAAAACTATATAGTTCCTGACATATAGTATATTTTAATACATGTTAGTTCTCTTAATTCTTTCACTAATAATCCATCTTTTCAAATGTAGGGTTTTTTTCCCCCCTTAAAATTTTTTTTCATATTGCACCTCTGAATTCTCTCCCAATGTTGTGGCACTTTTGTCAGTCTTCCATAATAATAGGAAGCTATTTGTCTCTTTTATGAACATTTGGGTGAGAATGCTTATCTCCCCAGATCATAGGATAATGGTTAATTATCTCAAATCTGCACCAATATACTCATGTTTATTTAATCGGGAACTCTTAAACACCCTCTATGAGTAGTGATGGAAGTAGAAAGGGATGTACAAACAACTATATATAGGACCACCTCTGCACTCTAAAAGTCTAATTAATGAAACAAAACATACATATGAAACTGTTAGGAAACAATGCAAGAAAAGTGCATAGCCAGTTTCTCTATTTCTAGTCTTTTCTCCATATGATCCATCTCACACACTGCTTCATAGTCCCCAAACACTCTGTTCTTGTTTAAAAACCTTCCGTGGCTCCTACAGTCCACAGAATGATGTTTGAATTTGACATGGTACTCAGGTCTCCACAATGTAGTCAAACATTTCCCACCTATGTCCTATGACTTCTGGACAAATGAAAGTTGCTTTATACAAAGTCTACTTATCCCTAAGTGTAGCATGTGTATTCCCTTTTATCTCTTTGCTCACATTGTTTTCATCACCTGCCTATCTTGCTCCTTTCCTTTTTTAAAAAAAATCTGCTTTCTCCCTTCTAAGGCCCTGCGTGATGCAAACAGCTAAGTGCTCAACCTATTAGCTGACAAGTTCATGGTTCAAACTCACCCAGAGGAGTCTTGGAAAACAGGCCTACCAATCTGCTTTTGAAATTCACAGCCTTGAAAACCCTATGGAGAAGTTCTACTCTGCAAACATGGAATCACCATGAGTTGGAAAACTTGACAGCAACCAACAACAAAAACAAAAAGTCCCAGTTCAAGTTCATAGTCTAGGACCTCTTCCATCCAGTGTTTCCTCACTATACCTCAGTCCAGAGCTTTCTCCTTCTTCTTAATGTCTTTAGTATACACAGTCTATAGCATCCCTATTTATAAGTTAGCCTATACAAGTACTATCTTGTAGTATTTTTATAGATTTTTTTAGATATATATCTGAGGCTGTATTATACTTTTACTTATCTTAAATCATCTTACAGCCTTCCTATTTAAGACAAGGTCTTTCAAAAAATAGATATTCTAAGGATGAATTAAATGCACATACCCAATGACAGATTTCTAAACACCTCCTCTGTTAAGAACAGGACACACTCTAAGTCCATCACATTCAATACCTTTAGCTCTTTCTTCACAAGTTATTGTGATCCTCTCATTCAAAATGCAGGTTACCCTCCCACTCCACCCTCAACATTCCCAGAAGACAAAGTCCAATACTCACAGTGAACTTTATTTGGATTTGTCTGTTTCCGACGGGACATGTTTCCCTGATCCAAGAGCTCTGGTCTTTCCCAGTTTCACGACTGGATATGTTCCTACCTCCTTGTAAGGTGCTGACCTACAATGAAAAAGGATCATTGCTAGCACAAAAATTACTTAAAACTAAAAGATAAAAAGACTTAAAAATAGCCCCAGAGCATATAAAACTCACGAGTTATCAATAATTGAACTAATGATGGAAAGACAGAGATGAATACAACTTTAGCAGCACAATTTCAACGTACCAAGAAGGTACCACAATGTTAAGTGAGAGAAGGGACTCCTTCAGAGGACTTAAGAGAATTCCACTCTAAATCCATCTGTGAAATCCAGAATACTGTTAAGTGATCATGATCAAGGTCACAGGATAGAAAAGGAAGCAAAACCCAGGAAACCAGGGTTAGAAGTACTATGGACTCAAAGGGATAATCCCCACAAATTGTAAAAGGAAGTCAAAGAGGGTGGCAGCTCACATGTCACACGCTCACTGGAAGTCAAACACTGCAATCTGCACCAATGGAAGCTTCCAGATGTTTTTTCAAGAAGTTATCTCGCCTAGAGGTGACAGAGGCATCATATCCCTGTGAGACAAGCAATGTCTCAAAACTCTTAGGCATCTGTAAACGAAAATGGAGCCTATGTTTTGTGATGCAGGCATAGTGCTGGGCACTATGGATGATAGGGCAAGAGAACAAATCAAACTTCCAGTGTCAAAGATGGGCTCTCACATCCACACTGTTGAGTCCTAATTCAGACCCCAGTGTGGCAACATCAGCCTCTGTGGTGGCTCGACTCACATGCTCTGGAGTAATGGTCAAAGTTAAAACTTTACTGTCTCTTCTTATCCAACCTCTATATGGCAAAGAAGCTGTGGGAGGGGCAAAGAGAAAACTCTCCAAACTACAAGTGTGGTAGAGACATGCACCTGCCTTCTTGTTATAGGAGTGAACAGACGTTCAAGTATGGAGATTCCTGGTTAACTATAAGGAAAACTTTCCCATCAATAAGTACTATTAGAATCTGGCATGGTTTAGTAACAGAAGCAGTAAAAATTTCTTTGAAAGCCGAGAGAATAAACAAACCTATAGATTACAAAGAGATGGATTCTCTTCCTACCAAAGACAAGAAAATGATTTTGCTACCCTTGAAGTTTTTTTTTTTCAGTTCCTACCTTCTCAAATTATACTTACATTGAATAAATATAATTGCAGCCAACTGTTTTAAAAGGACTTATGAGAGGCTACAACTAGTTATACAGTGCCCTCCAGTTCGTAAAGACTCACCTCCTGTTAGGCCAACTAACTCCTCTATGTAGCTAGAAAGGACCTCAGACCTGTAATCAGATCCTGCCTCCCCTTACCACAAGAAGAAAGAAACCGCAAATGGCAAAGAGAGTCCTCCACAGGAAGTGGTAAAGGGACCAGTTTTCAGGCAGTCTTCTATCATATCTGCATATCAAACAGTTGTTTTTCAGACCTTTAATTAAAACAACAACAACAAAAAGTCCAAATGTATAACAGTAAGATTAAATTTTAACTATTTAGAGGGCAGTATACAAAGGGATCTAGAGGATAAGCACTGGACTTGGAACCACAAAGTTGGCAGTTTGAGCCCACCAGCCGCTCCACCAGAGAAAGATGAGGCTTTCTGCTCCAGCTAAAATGTACAGTCTTGGAAACCCTATACAGGATTGCTATGAGTCAGAACCCACTCAACTATACTTAACAACAATGTTGAGGATTAATACTAATTACATGTGTTCCTGGTTCTAAGTTTCATTTGATTATATTATTTCTTTCTAATCAAGCTGTTGTTAAGCGGTGTCGAGTTGGTTTCGACTTCTAGCAACCATGTATAAGGTTTCCATGGAGCGGCTGGTGGTTGTTTTAAATTACTGAGGCAGTACGTGTGTATCACACTTTGGATTTTTAATGCGTTTGGAATCACAAAATGGCAAGTTAAATGAACTACAAGGTTTTTAATCATTTTTTTTTAAAGTTTACAAAAATATACCTTTGTTATCTAAAGGCAAAAAAAGAAATTTTAGCTCATCTTTACATTTTCCCCATCAAGAACAGAAACAGTACCTGTGAAGTAAAGGTAATAAGGCCCCTTCTGTCCTTCTGAAGGAAAACCAAATCATTTGAGATCGTTAACCTCTTTAAGGATCATCTTAGTGAGCCAAATGTTCAATATAGAAGCTGAGAGTCACAAGGCTGAGATGAGCATCTGCATATTTAAATCAGCAGTGTCCACTGAGACTCAGAATCCTCCTAGTGGCCAAACGGGGAACTGACCAGATGGTACTCAACGGGGCTTCACACCTGAGGGATTATGGTAAAAATCAGCAAATACCCTTCCCTCCCCCCATAAGTCACCAAGGACTCTTTACAACATAAACAAATAAATAAATGGCATTGACAGGGCACTTCATGACATATCAAGATTTCCGAGGACCCCGGCTGTTTTATAGGTAATGGTAGGCAATAAAAGCTAATAAAACCCACTGACACATTGCCCTAAAGGTCATTCAATTCTACGTTCAACACTGCCTGCCTCAGTTCCCAAAAGCCAATCTGAGAGTGGTCCAAGAAATGAAACGGATAGCTAGTTGAGCATCGCTATCCCAAAGAAAAAGGAGATGGGCAGAAATGGTCAACAGGAGGATTCGGGCCTCCGGGGGCGTCTGCCAATAAAGGAATGGCGCTTCATCGGTCTTCAGGACAATGTCTCTCCACTGCCCTCACCTGACGCGGTCCCAGCTCTCCCACAGGTGTTAGGTTGCAGCTGCCAGGACACACCACAGACTTGAGCAAGAGAAATGGGGTGAAAGGCTATCTTTAAGAAAACGGGGTGCACTCCCACCTCCACCTCTGCTGCGGTTCCCACGGCGCAAAGCAAACTCGCCCGAATCCGAGTGGTTTGTATCTGCCAAAAAGGAGAGGACAAGAGAGCAGATCACGTAGCCGCCTTCCAGTTCCCAACGTTCCCACTTCTGCTGGGTAAGGAGGGTGTGTACAATTAACCGAGCTGTTCCCTCCGAATTCTTCCAGGGGCAGTACAGGTAAATTCCCGGGAATGATCAGGTAAGTGCCAGAGATCTTCGGAGGCGGCGCAGACAGCACAGTCTTCTCAGAAATCTAAATTTAGCAGCTTTTCTGAGAGCCCGAGACGCTGGCGCTGATCCCCGGGTCTGCCCTCCCACGCCCATCCTCCCGCCCGTAAGCTCCACCCAGGCCTGTCAGACGCCGGCTGGTGGCCGGGCCCGCGGCCGGGGGACGAGGCCACGCGGGGAGGCCCGAGCGCAGGAGGAAGAACGGCTGGGACTGCCGGCCCGCCGCGGCCTCGCCTCAGGGACCGCGGGTGGGGGGACTGGGCTGCGCCGCCCTCAGGCCACAATGAGCCCCGAGCCCCCTCCTCAGACACAGACAGACAAAAGGGCCGACAGCTGGCGACCAAGAGGGGGGCGGGGATCCCCAGCATCCTCAGTGGGGCCCAGAGGGAAGGAGTCGGGGGTCTTTTTACCCAACGCCTCCGCGCTCCGCTCGCTCCGTGTCCCTGGGCCCCGCCTCCGGACAGACAGACCGCCGGACAATGGGCCTCGGGCCGCAGCTCGAGCCCAGCCGGGCCGCGCCTTTCCGGGACAGGGTCCCGGCAGGCGGAGGGCGGCTCCGGGCTGAACTGGTGGCAGGTAGCCGAGGGGCGGCGCTGCAGACGGACAAAGCACCCGCCGACAGACAGACAGAAGGGGAAAAGATGGCGACGCGGGTGGCGGGAGCGCGCTGCTCGCGCACTCGCAGCGAGCAGGGCGCGTGCACGAGTCGCTCCTCTCCACCGCCCCCTCGCTCCGCCAGGGTACCCTTTCTGGTTTTCCAGGCGCGCGCCAGCGATGTGGGCGGAACCTGAGGGGAGAGGGGGTCTTGGGAGGCGGGGCCTATGGGAGCACCCAATCACAGGCGTCGGCGAGAGGCCTCGCCTCCATCCTGGAGCCGGGGAGACCCCCGAGCCTTGCAACCACCTTAAGTCTTTTTCTGGGTCACTCGACCTCTCAGATCCGTTGGTCCAAACCCTGCAGGAGGCCTGTACACTACACCCCGACTATAGACTCTCATACTGGTTTCTCACCCCACCATTGAGTTCAACCACAGAACCCACAGCCCCACCGCAGCCTCCCTGTCTCTAGCCCTCCCCCCCTTAATCCTCTTCCGTTCATTTCCCTCAAGCTTCACAGTTTCTTTAGCCCCTGAGGCATTTAATAGGACCGAGGCAGAGGATCATGGGCCTTTGTGGGAGGGGCTAAATTCAACTGTCAAAAACTCTAAGAAAAATCCTTAGATTTCTTGTAGGCACATGATTTTCAATTAATAAAATAACGTAGTTGTAGACCCAGGGGCAAAGGATTCATTTACAGCATTGTTGATACTTATGAGTATTTGGGGCAACTAAATCCAAGTGTACCGACTCACTTCCTAATAAAGCACCTCTTTCTGTCTCCTTTCCTTCCTCTCATTCTTTCTTTATACAGAATGCTTTAACCACTACCTCTGCTTACTTGGAGAAACAAGTCCTGGTATAGTGCTGTAGGATAAACACTAGACTGCTAACCACAAGGTCGGTAGTTCAAACCCACCAGCTGCTCCTTGGAAACCCATGCAGGGTGACTACGTTTTGGATGGTACTTAACAATTTGGAGGAAGGAGGTGTGGGGGGCAGAAGATGAGCTCTGTACTTAAAAGATCCAGCTTTGAGTCCCAGCTCTGCTTCTCACCATTCTAATGGATTTGGATAAGACACTTTCCGATTTTGAGACTCTGCTCTTAAATGAGAAATGGTTAATATAATTGCTCGCCTCCAATCTCAAAAAAGGGTAGTTGTGCCAATCAAGTAAAATAAATATCTTAAAGCACTATGTATCTCTTATGATTACTGGTCTCTCAACAGCAGAGCTAATGAGGATGCTAACTTCTATTTGTTGTTAAGTGCAATCAAATGGATTCTTACAGTGACTCTGGACAGGGTTTCCAAAGAGCAGCTGGAAGGTTTGAACCACCGACCTTATGGTTCACAGTCCAGTGATTATCCTACAGTGCCACAACTGGATAGGGTAAAAAATCCTGGTATTTGCATAAAGCACTCTTGCAAAATATCCTTCCTTCAACTCTGGAATGATTGTATCATGTGTTTAATGTGGTTACAGAATGACTATACTGAAGGATCTTTGTTGTTGTGAAGTGCCGTGGAGTCAGTTCAGACCTATAGTGACCCTGTATAGTGTTTCTGAGGCTCTAAATCTTTGTAGGAGCAGAAAGCCTCATCTTTTTCCTGGTGAAGTGGCAGATGGACTTGAACCTTGTGATTTGCAGCCCAATGCTTACCATATGGCGTCACAGTGCTCCCTGAAAGATCTTTGTGCCAAATAGCTAATTCATTTACTTCTTCTTCTTTTAGTTATTAAAAAAAGGAATTTTTTTATTGTGGGCAAGGTGCAAACGATATAAAAATCAAGTTTATCTGGCTAAGACAGAGCCATTGCCATGCTGCAATGAGTTTCGATGACGGGTAAGACTGAGGAATTCACACTGACCGCCTAAGACAGGCAGCGTCCCTTAAACAAACAATAAATAAGGGGGAATCTGATGCAGACCGTGCAGACTCGGTCAGAAGGTCAAGACCCTGTGGGCCCAAGCGTTGTTGACCGTCCAAACCATAGGCTCTGAGGATCACACTTTAGCCACCTAGTAGACATAGCAAACTGTCCCTCATCTGATTATTCAGTAATGGTTGTTAGTAATCTCATACATGAGCCCTGGATATCCACAGACAAATGTAAAAACCTTCCCTAAAAGCTAAGACTGTAAATTCCAAAAAGGCAAGTCCCCCGCCTCCCCCGCCAAAAAAAAGCTAAAGAGGATAGAGAGAAACACTGTTAACTGATGATATATGGAGGGGATAATAATCAATGTAATGAAACAAGCTATATGAATGGTTGAATGTGAAGCTGATGATGTGCCCTGTAAACTTTCACTCAATCCAAAATAAAAACATTTAAAAAAAAAAAATTATCTGGTGTTGAATAGCCTTTTCTTTCTCTACTTGTCAAATGAAGGAGCTCTGGTAGTGTAGTGGTTACAAATCAGGCTGTGCCCAGCAAGGTCAGCAGTTAGAAACTACCAGCTGTTCTGCGGGAGAAAGATGAGGCTCTCAGCTCCCGTAAAGATTTACAGCCTCGGAAACCGTGTACAGGGTCACTAGGAGTCGGAAGCGACTCCACAGCACATAACTACCACCACCACTTGTCAAATGGGATGGGTTTTATTTGTACACATTCTAAAGCATCCCAATCTGCTCATGAAATTCTTACACAGGGGAGAGCTGTGGGGTAGGTTCCTTAAGCAGCTCTTTGGGATGACTCTTATCAAGGTGGGAGTGATGTCTCAACTTTACCTACTTCTACTTCTTTACCTTCTGTTTCATGTGTACTACAAAATAATCATTGTATGCAATGGTGAGCCCAGCAATAAATGAAAGCAAGCTCTGGAAACCTACTTTGCCATCTTAGCACTGCTCCAGGTTCTTCACTATTTTGTCAACAGCCAGAGGGTCTTTTCGGTTTTCCAAAAATCCAGGGAACTCCTTTTCCATGAGCACTCTCAGATCTCCCTTCGTTAAGTAGCATTTATGCCCAGCAAATTTGTGAAATGTGAACATCATCGTTTCCATGGCATGTTCCATTTGAGACGGCATTTTGGTGAGGTCTGTTGGAGTCTTGGCTAGGAGGTGTGGGTGGACGCTCAGTGAGGTAAGACACAGGGACAGTCATACTCATTATCCTTTATTTTTTTAAAGTTTTTATTGTGAATTGTAATAGCTGACATGGGAGAACATCAGCTTTACATTAATCCTATCGTATTTTGTTTCATTGCAATGTTTACAATCCCCTCCATGCATCATATTCAACAGCATTTGGTTCCATTCCCTTTGTTTTTTTTGGATGTACACTGAAGTAATCAGGAATATATAACCATTCAAACAACCAAAGGGTATACCCTGCAAGCTTGCCTCCTGGCCACCAGCACATAGCCCCTCTCCCTCCTTGTGTCTAGAGGCCCCAGCCGCTCCATCTCCTCACGTCATTGTCTCTGCTGTTGCTGCTTCTCTGGATAGGGTCCTGCACTCTGCTCTTCTCCCTTGATGGTCCCAGGGTCCTCTGTTCCTAGACTGCAAGCTCAACCACTCCCCTCCTTTTCTTACACAACATCTGCCTTTACATTAGCAGCATCACAATCAGTCCTGATAGCAATTATTCACTATTGAACTACAAGAGTCTTATCCTCATCTCCTTTCACCAGCCCTGTCTAGACAGGTTGGAACACACTCATTATTCTTAAACATCAGAAAAAGAAACATTTAAATGCTTTAAATTTTTTATTGTGGTAAAATATATTTAACAATACTTTTCCATTATAACCAGTTTTAAGTGTAGATTTCAGTAACATTACACTTACAGTGTTGTACAAACATTACCACTATTCCAATCCATTTCATCACCCCAAAAAGAATCTTAGTATCTCTTACACAGTAACTTTTCACTCCCCCCCCACCCCTGATAACTAATAAACTTTTGTCTCTATGCATTTGACTAATAGATTTAAATTCCATTTACATTTTCAATTCTGCTCTGAGTGAGAAAGATGAAGCTTTCTACTCCTGTAAAGCTTTACTGCCTCAGAAACCCTACAAAGGGTCACTATGAGTTGGAACCAACTTGATGGGCCATCACTACTACCACCACCAGGTATCCAAAAATTGAATACTCTTAGCCAACTAGCAAGTTTTCAGACAGTTTTATGTAAAAATGCAATGTGCAATAAACATTGTTTTTTTTTTTTAAACACTGATTTTTATATTAACAACAACAGTCAGTATTGATGAGATCTGACTAAGGGATACAAATATGACTTAAATTTGTCATTGATATTCTCAATGGGAAACCAGCTAACAGGTAAAGCTTTTGAAGTAAGCTTCCAGTGACCTTGGTTTCATCACTGAGCTGCTGTGTAAAGGTGGGCAACCTATTCCATCTTTTTGTGTTGCAAACAGTATGGGTTCATTATAATGCTATTCTTATTACTTTCTTGTACTTTAATAATATCTCTGACTCAAGATTATAATCAAATAAGGGAAAATTATTAATTTTTAAATTAGGAACTAGTTTAGTGTCCCGCTCCTCTTGCCTAACCTTGCTCTAAAAGACTTTTTAATTAATTATGTACTTTTATCAGCTTTGCTATTTTTACTTTCCCAGTCTGCTCAGTTATACTCTTATTTTGCTACTTCAACTATATTAACTTCCCCTTGAAATATATTTTTAATATATTTTCTTTTTATTGGCTCCTACAGTGACTTTGTTTTTGGGAGTCCTGGTGTGGCACTGTGGGTTAATGCGCCAGACTGCAAAGCCGTTTGAACTGCAAGGTCAGCGGTTCAAGCTCACCAACTGCTCCTTGGAAACCCTATACAGGCTCGCTATGGGTCGGCACCAACTCGACGGCACTTCACAATAACAACAACAACAGTGACTTTGTTGGAGTCCTGGTGTGGCACTGTGTATTAATGTGCCAGACTGCAAGGCCGCCTGAACTGCAAGATTGGCAGTTCAAGCTCACCAGCTGCTCCTCGGAAACCTTATACAGGATCGCTATGGGTCGGAACTGACTTGACGGCACTTAACAACAACAGTGACTTTGTTAGGGCTTTATAGGAAACAGCAAGTAGAATTTTAAGATCCTCATTAAAATTATTTTAAAGATATAATTCACTTATTATAAAATCCAACCTTTTAAAGTAGACAATTCAGTGGTTTTTATTATATTCACAAGGTTGTACAACCATTATCCTATCTGACTCCAGAACATTTTCATCACCTCATGAAGAAACTCTACAGCCGTTAGCAGTCACTCCCCCAATCCCTTTAATCCTGCTAATCTACTTTAATTGATCATTGATTTACTATTCTGTACATTTTATATAAATGGAATCATACAGTATGGGGCCTGTTGGGTCTGGTTTTTTAAAGATAGCATTATTTTGAAGGTTCAAACACATTATAGCATTTATTAGTACTTCATTACTTTTTATGGCTATAGTGTCCCATTGTATGGAAATACCACATTTTATTTATCCATTGAGCATTTATGTACAAGTTTTTGTGTCAACACATTTTCAATTCTCTTGGAGTGGGGTGGTGCTCTAGGATAAGCACTGGACCACAAAGGCAGTTTCAACCACAAGGTCGACAGTTCGAACTCACCAACCACTCCTCAGAAATCCTATACAGGGTGGCTATGAATCGGAACCAACTCAACAGCACTTAACAAAAGTCACTTTTTTTTTAATGCTTTTATGGTTTTATTTAGCACAAATAACACTTGCAAACTGGCAGTCTGTTCATTTCTTGGCTGCACAACCTGACTTTGTGTGACTCTGAAGGTCACGTAGGCTGCTCTTCCCGCAATGGCTTTGTGGTTCTTAGAGGAAACATTGTGAGCAATCACTGCGCAGTAAGATTTAGTGCACATCAGCAGCACCTCCAGCCTTTTGACATTGTGGACCAGGAACTTATGGAAACCACTGGGCAGCATGTGTCTTGCTTTCTTGATGTTTCCATAACCAGTGTTAGGCATCAAAATCCAGCACCAGAATCTTGTCCATGCCTCTGGGCTTTCAGCCAGTTACACTTAATTTTGATATAACGATCTGACTGGTGCTGAAGGAACTTCTGGGCACTCTTTTCAATGACGTTGGGCTTCACTAGGGGTCTGAGGGCAGCCATGATGCCAGTGGAGACGGCTGCCTCCTCCGTAGGCAGCACCCAGGAAGAGCTTATGTCTAACTTTTGAGGAACTGCCAAACTGTTTTCCAAAGTGGATAAACCATTTCCTATTTCCATCAGCAATGTTGAAGGGCTCCAAGTTCTCCACATCTGCTATTGTTTGCCTTTTTCATTATAGCCATTCTAGTGGGTGTGAAGGGAGCACGAAGGCTCTATATGATAATCACTGGGCTGTGAACCACGATAGGGGGAAAAGTCGTTTCAACAAATAGTTCTCAGACAAGTAGCTATCCACATACAAAAGAATGAAATTGGATTCCGAATCTCACACTATATACAAAAATTCACTCAGAATAGATCAAAGGCATAAATGTAAGAGCTAAAATTATGAAACTCTTATAAGAAGACATAAGTGTAAATCTTCATGGCTATGAAGTACCAGAATAGGTCTTGAACCCAGATCTAAAGACTCAACATTCTATTTTCCACATAATATTCATATTACCATAAAAATTCACCTGTTAGTTTTACCTTTAAAACAACTACATGAATTTTTATGGTAATGTGGATATATACCTTTGGAGTCCTGGTGTGGTGCTGTGGGTTAATGTGCTGAACTGCAAGGTTGGTGGTTCAAGCTCACCAGTCACTCCTCAGAAACTCTATCTATACAGGGTTGCTGTGAGCTGGAATTGACTTGATGGCACTTAACAATTCCAACAACAGTTTTACCTTTAACTAGTATATAGTGAGTTTACTAATAAATGTAAATACATTGTCATGGTTATTTCTCTAATTTGCATTCATATATAAAAGCAAACTGACATGGCGCTAGAGGTGCTTACTTGTCTATGCCAAGAAATTTGGAAGACAGCTACCTAGCCAACCAATTGGTAGAAATCCATATTTGTACCCATTCCTAAGAAAGATGACACTACAGAATGAGGAAATAATCAAATAATGTCATTAATATTACATGCAAGTAAAATTCTGCTGAAGACAATTCAAAAATGTTCTCAGTAGTACATAGACAGGGAGCTGCTAAAAATTCAGGCTATATTCAGAGGGGGACGTGGAACTAGGGATATTGTTGCTGATGTCAGATGGATCTTAGCAGAAAGTAGAGAATACTAAAAAGATATTTGTTGTTGATGTTAAGTGCTGTCAAGTCGGTTCCAACAGATAGTGACCCTATATAGGATCTCTGAGGAGTGGCTGACTGTGCAGTTCGAAATGACCTTGCAGTCCAAGGCATTAACCCACAGTGCCACACCAGGATGCCAAAGAGATATTTACTTGTGCTTTATTAATCATCCAAATGCACTAGACTATGTGGGTCATATAGTCAAATGACATACTGCATTACGCAAATCTGCTGCACAACACCTTTTTAAATTGTTGAAAAGCAAAGATGTCAGCTTGAGGACTAAGGTGCACCTGACCCAAGCCATGGTATTTTCAATAAACTCATATGCATGCGAAAGCGGGACAGTGAATAAGGCAGACTGTAGAAGAATTGATGCTTTTGAGTTATGGTGTTGGAGGAGAATACTGAAAGTGCCATCGACTGCCAAAGGAAACAACAGATCTGTGTTGGAAGAAGTGCAGCCAGAGTGCTCCTTGGAGGCCAAGATGGCCAAATTTCGTCTCTCGTACTCTGGACATGTTGTCAGGAGGAACCAGTCACTGGAGAAGGATATCATGTTTGGTAAGGTGGAGGGTCAGAGAAAAAGAGGAAGAACCCCAACGAGATGGATTGGCCAGGTGGCAGCATCGATGGACTCAAGCGTGGCAACAGTGGTGAGGTTGGCCCAGGATTGGGCAGTGTTTTGTTCTGCTGTGCACAGAGTCGCTATGAGTCGGTACCGACTCGATGGCACCTAACAACAACAACAACATGCGGATCATAACAAATTATGGATAACACTGCAAAGAATAGGGATTCCTATTTAATTGTACTTACTAGGAACCTGTACATAGACCACCTGTACACAGACCAAGAGGCAGTCGTTAGAACAAGGGGATTCTGAATGGTTTAAAATCTGGAAAGGTGTGCATCAGAGTTATATCCTTTCACCATATTTATTCAATCTGAATATTGAATATATAATTTGAGAAGCTGAATTATAAGAAAAATCTGCGATACGCAGACAACACAAGCTTTATTGCTGTAAGGTATGTTAAAAATAATTTTTTGTAATTTTTCCCCCAAGAAATGGGCTTAATTAAAATATTTTACCATGAACATTTTCAAGCACACTTGAAAGCAGAGAAAATAGTACATTAGCCACCATCCATTTCAACAATTATCAAGATTATACAGCTGGTTTATCACTTTCACAGTAAACAATTCTTTGAAAATACCTTAGTGCCATTTTCGTACCTTAACCCAGTGCCATTAAGTTGATTCAAACTCATAGTGATCCTATATAAGGTTTTTGAGACAATAAATCTTTAAGGGACCAGACAGTCCCATCTTTCTCCCAAAGGGGCAGTGGGTGAGTTTGAACCACCAACCTTGTAGTTAGCAGCCCAATATTTATCCCACAGCACCAACAGGGCTCCTTATAATTCTTGGCAATTGTCTAATAACAAATTCCCCCAACTGTTTCAAAAAGCATCTTTTATAGTTGGTTTGTTTGAATCAGAATTTACATTAGGTCCACATACATCACACTTGATTCTCTAAAGCTGTTAAATATAGTCAGTGGTCACTTAAAACAACCATTATCTTGTAGCAGAATGGATGCAATTTACACATATATTATTGCATATTTTAAAGAAACCAAATACTGTATTTTCAAGTTCTGGAACCTTGATTTATTTAGAAATATTGTGAATGGTGGACTCCTGTTGTGGCGTTGTAGGATCAGCACCAGACTTTGAACCACAAGGTCGGCAGTTCAAACTCACCAGCCGCTCATTTTGAAACCCTATACAGGGTCGCTACGAATGGTTACCAGTTGGGCTGCTAATCTAAGGGTCAGCAGCTGGAAACTACCAGCGGTTCTATGGGAGAAAGATAAGGCTTTCTGCTCCCGTAAAGATTTACAGCCTCGGAAACCCTGTGCAGGATCAGTACGGCTTGGAACAGACTCCACGGCACATAATAACAACAACAAATGAATTGAAACTGAATACCAACAACTGTGAATAGCTATAAATTATAGACAACATTTTTAAATCATAGAAATCTTACAATGTAACATACTGTCATGTGACTGTCCCATCATAATTTAAGCACCGTTAGATGCAGCCTATAAACCCTGGTAGCGCAGCAGTTAAGTATTCCACTGCCGCCAGCAAAAAGATCAGGGTAGCGGTTTGAAGTCGCCAGCCCCTCTCAGGGTTAAAGATGTAGCAGTCTGCTTTCCTAAAACCCTGAAAACCTGTGGGGCGGTTCTTCTCTGCCCTATAAGGTCGCTGAATCTGAAATGACTCCATGGCAACGGTTTTTTAAATTATTTTTTAAGGAGCATCTACAGAAGGGAGGCGAGATTACTTCCCTTTGGAAGCCAGGGGGTCAGGGGAGCTCCTTCCAAAGCTAAACTGAGAGAATGGTTATCAAATTTAAAACAAAGACAGCCAGGTGCAAAAGTTTCCGTTAAAAAGGTAAGTAGCCACAGAACGTGGTGCTAAGGAAACACATTATACAGACTCCACAGATTCTGAATGAAGTCATTAGACTCTTTAAAAGCAGGGCAAGAGAATCAGGGTAGACAGATGGAAACGGAGAGATTGTGGGTCTCAGAAAGGGATCGAAACTCACTCGACCACTCGGCCCGGAAGAAAGAAATCCAAACTCAGGCAGAAAGTCTTCGAAGGAGAGTGGAGCGATAGGAAGAGCAAATCTCAAAGACTAACTCAAGGCGCTGAAGGGAATACTGGAGCCGGTTATGCTAGAGCTGGAGAAGTAACCAGCACAACTGACCTCCCCGCGCCCGTGGAGAAACCTGAGGAAATCAGGGCGCGCCCCTGGTGAGTGACTCAGACACCAAGACTTTTCGTCTGTACGACCGTGCCTCCGCCGCAGGAAGTAGTTCCCCAGGATCTCTAGTTCCGAAGGGAGCTGGGCGTAGGACCTTGGACGTAGAGCTCGAGGGCGGCGGGAATCAGCCAATCCCTAAATCGAAGGGAGTACCTGACTAGGCCCAGCGGATCCTTCCGCCGCTCTTGCTGTGGTGCGGCATCGAGGCCGCCATTTTGGATGCTGAGCTTTGAAACCGATCCTTGCTTGTGCGGTTTTCTTGCTAGAGTTATATCAGGTGAGTGTGGCTTCTTCGGTGTCAGGGTCTTTGTTTTCCTGATTTAGAAGCCCCTGTGTGTGCTCCTGTTATAGGAGGCTGCAGCCTGGATAAGGCAGGTGAGAAGGGAAAGGATCTGGATATGGGTGTCAGGTCCGAGGTCAGACCGGAGGGGCCCGGGCGCGGGAGGCTGACGGAGACCGGGGGGCGTGGCAGGCCGCGGGCTCTTGGGAATGGCTAGGGAATAGCTAGTCCTGGACTTTGGAAGCAATCAAACTTTCCTACCCCAAAGTGTTTCCTGAAGTGGACACGCAGTCCCTGTTGGTGACAGAGCTCGACTTGGCCTCATAGGGCAAACGCTTACCCCTTTTGCCATAGAGGGTCGTCTGTGTCTCTAGTGCCCACGAATCCCTGATCGCCTCCGAATCTCGGCAGCCGCTACCGGGTGGGATGCCCGCTTTTCTGGCTTTGTTCTTGACAGCCCCGAATTTGGGCCCCGTTTTGTCGGAGGAAGTAGCCTTTTGTTGTTAAAAGCAAACAGCTGCCTCTGCCTCCTTTAGGGTCAGAGGCAGCTGCGGCCCTACCCTCGTCCCTCTCCTCCTTCTCTTCCGGGTTGTTGGAGATGAGGACTTGAACCCAGCCTAAACTTTCACAAGGATCAGGGCCCAAGAGCTTCCGTTTAATAATTAGGTAATAGAACTGTGGGCCAGTCCCTAGAGACGCAGCCACTGCCACTCTGTGGTCATCAAATGACAGTCTGGTCTTAAGCCCCTTTTGGAGGTTGCCCTTTTTTCCTATTGTTAAGTGCCATTGAGTCAGGTTCGACTCATCTAGGCCTGTATAGGGTTTCACGGGTGAGTTTGAACCGCTGACCTTGCTGTCCAGTGCTTATCCTGTTACGTTTACATATTGACTGTTGCTTAATTTTTTGTTACAGAACATTTCAAACAGACAAAAATAAAGAGTATATAATGAATTTCCTTGCTCCTTACCCAACTTTAACATATTCACAGCCAGTTATGTTATATCTCCTATCCTCTCCCCTCGGGATATATGTCTGTGTATGTTTCTATGTTGTTGATGTTGATTAGTGCCTTCCAGTCAGTTCCCACTCATAGTGACCCTGTACAAGGTTTCTGAGGAGCAACTGGTGGATTTGAACGCCGACCTTGTGGTTCAGCACTTATCCTGCAGCCATTGCCACACCAGCACACCATGTTTCACTATATATTGGTCTATTTTAAAATAGGTTTCTATGTCTAGACATATTTTTTAAAAATTTATAAATGAATAAATACATGAGTTTTCTTTTATAGAAGTCCTGTGGCACTGTAGGATAAACACTGAACCACAAGGTTGGTTTGAACCACAAGGTCAGCAGCTGAAACCCACCAGCTACTCTTTGGAAACCCTGTACAGACAAGGCCGCTAAGAGTCCAAGCCAACTTGATGACAGTTAACAACAACAAACAGCATTCTTGTATATGGAAGCACGGTGGCTCCATAGGATATAAGCACTGGACTATGAACCACAAGGTCTGCAGTGTGAGCCCGTTTAACATTTCTCTGGAGAAGGTTGAGGCTTTGTACTCCCACATCTGGAACCCAATGTTCTTCAGTGCCTTTGTCACTGGGAGCAGAAACGTACTTCATGGTACTTACCAACAGCAATTCTTCTATAAGACTACAGGTTTGAATGCTTTTGACTCCCAGATCTACAAACCAATTGTCCATGTTGGAAGATGCTGTCACTCCTACCTCAGAAAAGTTTTTGAAAATATAGGAACATTTGGTAGTCTTAACAGCAACCTACTTGATGGAGTACTGGTGTGGTGCTGTGGGTTAATGCGCTGGACTGCAAAGTCGATTTGAACTGCAAGGTTGGTTATTCAAGCTCACCAGCTGCTCTTCAGAAACCGTGTACAAAATAGCGATGGGTCAGAAGCAACTTGACTGCACTTAACAACCACCTACTTGATGTCAGCAACAAGCACCTTTGTCTTGTTTTTTGTTGATTGTTTTTAAAACTTTTTATTGTGAATTGAGTGATGGTTTATTGAGAAAAGATAATCACTTTGACATTCAACGAATCATGTGCTTCATTTCTTTGCAGAGATTGCAATCCCCTCCTCCATGTACTATCAGTTAACAGTGTTTACCTCTATTCATTCCTTAGTGCTTACATTTCTCCTCATCTGCTGCTGCTTTCGTCTTTCCTCTACCAACCTCCATCAACCTCCCTCTTGTTATTTACTGCCTGCCGCATCACTCAAGTTTACTAATATGTCCAACCTCTAGGCAGTGAATTAATTTTCCCTTCCTTCCCACTTCTGGTAACCATCATAGAATGTTTATTTTATTAAGAAATCTAACTTTTTACAACAGTGGTGGTGGTGTTCCATGGAGTTGGTTCCGACTCAAAATGACCCTGCATAGGGTTTCCGAGGCTGTAGATCTTTACGGAAGCAGAAAGCCTCATCTTTCTTCTTCGGAATGGCTGTTGGTTTCGAGCTGCTGACCTTGAGGTTAGCAGCCTATCTCATAACCACTATGCTACTGGAGCTCCTTTACAACAGTGGTTTCATACAATTTGATTTTTTGTGGTTGACTGATTTATTAACTCAGCATAATGTCCTCCATGTTTATCCTTGTTATGAGGTATTTCACATATTTATCATGATTCTTCAGTGTTGCGTAGTATTACTTTATGTGTATGTACTAAAATTTGTTTACTCTTTCTTCTGTTGATGTCGTTTAGGCTGTTTCCATCGTTTTGTTATTGTGAATAGTGCTGCATTGAACATGGGCCCCCTCCCATTTTGACAACTCCAGTTGTCTCCAGACATTGCCAAATGTCCTGAGCTGCAAAATTGCCTTGGTTGGGAACCATTTGAGAATTAAAGTCTTTGTCAAATAGTTTAATAGTTGATGGAATTTTTTATCTGTATTTTCCAGTGGACTAAAAGTTATACTGTAGGGTAAGTGTTGGACTACTAACCGCAAGGTTGGCAGGTTAAACCCACCAGTTACTCTCAGAAACCCTGACAAAATAATTGAAAATATGAGAACTGTATAAAAACAGCAAGTAGACAGCCAGAATATTAACATTAAGACTCCAGGAATAGATTATACACTATAAAGAGCAAAGAAATAGAATTGAATCATTGGAAAGTTGAGTTTACTGAGCTTGAAGAACGATCTCTCAATATTCATTTGCTAGAGGAACAGTCAGAAAAAAGAACAAAATAATCTGAAGAAAGCCAGTGGTATTTGTGGGACCCTGTCAAGAGGAGGACTGGTATGGTTTTGTGGGTTAAAGTACTGGATCCACCTCAGAGCTACCCTGTGTAGGGTTTCCGAGGTTGTAATTCTTTATGGGAGCAGAAAGCCTCGTCTTTCTCTGATGAAGTGGCTGGTAGATTTGATCAGCAGCCCAACTCGTAACCCACTACACTACCAGGGATCCTAAAACAGACCAATAAAACTGAAAATAGAGAACCAGAGATACAGTTGCAACAACAGCAAAACACAGTAAAAAGCGGGTATAATTTAGTTACAGAACCTCCAAATGAGGAGGAAATGCAAATAAATTTCAAGAAAAAAGAAACCTAACTGTAACCTTAAAAACTAGCACAAGCCTTACCCCTAACACTAACTCTAGTTCTAAACATAACTCTTAACACTACACGAAGTCCTAGGCCTAGCCTCGACTTGGCCATAGTCCCAACCCTAATCCTCACTTCTTAATTCTACCCACCTTACCCCTACAAGAAATAAAATTTAAGAGAAAAAAAAAAGATGAGAGAATGTGTTTGAACTTAGTCACAAATTCAGTAATCTTTTCCTATCACTATTCCTTTTTAGATTTTGGGGAGAAACAGGATGCCCTCCTGTTTGCGTTTTTATTACCCGACTCCTATACCAATGCATACTAATTTTATCTACCACCAAGTTCTTTCAGATCTGCTTTCAGAATAGATCCCAAATTCTACCACTTGTGCCACTGTTACTATTAGCCACTCTGGTTTAAGCTATCACCAGGTTAAGCTCTTGTCTGGCCTTCTCATTGTTGATTTTGCTTCCTCTATTACCCTTCCCTAACAGCCAAAGTAATCTTTTTTTTTTTATTAAATGTTTTTATTTTGGATTGAGTGAAAGTTTACAGGGCACATCATCAGCTTCACATTCAACCATTCATATAGCTTGTTTCATTACATTGATTATTATCCCCTCCATATATCATCAGTTAACAGTGTTTCTCTCTATCCTCTTTAGCTTTTTTTTTTTTTTTGGGTAGGGGGGGACTTGCCTTTTTGGAATTTACAGTCTCGGCTTTTAGAGAAGGTTTTTACATTTGTCTGTGGATATCCAGCCAGGGCTCATGTATGAGATTACTAACAAGCATTACTGAATAATCAGATGAGGGACAGCTTGCTATGTCTACGAGGTAGCTAGAGTCTGATCCTTAGAGCCTATGGCTTGGACGGTCAACAACGCTTGGGCCCACAGGGGCTTGGCCTCCTGACCGGGTCTGCACTGTCTGCATCTGAATCCTCCTTATTTATTGATTGTTTAAGGGACGCTGCCTGTCCTAGGCGGTCAGTGCGAATTCCTCAGTCTTACCAGTCATTGAGACTCATTGCAGCATGGCAATGGCTCTGTCTTAAGTAGCCGAGGTTCCACGTGATCCTTACCCGTCTCTGGCCACACGTCCAGCATAAACAGCCACCATCCGAGGAAGGCAGGGAGGGAGGAGATCGGCTGGGGACCCCATGCGCCAGAAGTTGCCGGCCCACCACCTGCTCTAAGGTGACCAAGCAGGATCACTATCCTAACAGCCAAAGTAATCTTTTAAAAACATGAATCAGATCTTTTATTAATATTTTTCCTGTATTTAGAAACCACTGTGGTGTATTTTGTCAAAATAACCCGCTGAGAAGTGTTCCTGAACAAACTCTAACTTGAAGTGAATCATTGTGCTTTTTTCCAGAAGGAACGGCACAGCATGCTGGGCTCGGGGTTTAAAGCTGAGCGTTTGCGAGTCAATTTGCGATTAGTCATAAATCGTCTGAAATTATTAGAGAAAAAAAAAAGTGAGTAGTGCATGGTTGCCCTTTTTTCCTCAAAGTATCTCCCAAACCATTGCTGTGGGGTCTTAGGAATCCCAGGACCTTTAAACATTGGGTGCATTTCTGCACTTGAGGTTGACTAGCTTTGTGGCTAGTAGGACTAAGTCACTCTGTTGTAGGGAAAGGGACATAGTTTCTGTGGATGGGTAAAGGTGCTACCCTGTAGACATTTTCTGACTATATAAACCATGTTCTTACATAGACTGACTAAGCAGCACATTCTGTACTAGATTTGCTAAGGAGAGTCGGTTTGGGCATAGCAGAAATGCCCCACTTATCTCTGTTGGGGTGGCCCACAGGACAGGGAGCAGTATACTACTGTTATGTGACTAGGATGGGATTTATGCCTTAGCGGAACTAGCCCAGAAAGCAAGGAAGGAGATTGCTGACTACCTGGCTGCTGGGAAGGACGAACGAGCTCGAATCCGGGTGGAGCACATTATCCGGGAAGACTACCTTGTGGAGGCCATGGAGATCCTGGAGCTGTACTGTGACCTGCTGCTGGCTCGGTTTGGCCTGATCCAATCTATGAAGTAAGTTCAATTCATAGACCTAACTCATATCTGAAGTATGAGAAGGGAGTAAGAATGGTCTCTTTCTGCTCTAGGAACTTGGTCTAACAAACTACTTCACATACCCAGGGACCTTTTCCCTACCAGTTAGTTTTGTCAAAAAACAACAACAAATAAAACATACGGAATGTGAAATTAAGAGGCCTAGGTGTAAGTCTTGACTGTGTGGCCGTTCTTGTCACTTAGCATTTCTAAGGGTACTTTTCCCCAGAAGTCAATAGGATGATGATGAAAATGCTAAAAGCCTATAGAGTTGCAAGAATCAGTTGAGCTTTGTGAAAGAGTATTTGAGGCTATCAAATATGTTATTCAAAAGCTAGGGTTTTGTTGGTTTATTTAAGGAATACTAAATTGTACTAAGTTTTTTCTTGACTAGGGAACTAGATCCTGGTCTGGCTGAATCAGTGTCTACATTGATTTGGGCAGCTCCTCGACTTCAGTCAGAAGTGGCAGAGTTGAAAATAGTGAGTACAACAAAAGTTTCACTGATGTTTGTTGTTTTGCATATTGTTAGAAAGGTTAAGTAAGTATGATTGTTTTCCTCATAGATTGTCATAATAGTAGAAATAGTGTTTTTGTTACTATTTATATTGCATATTTTATAGTACTTCTAGTAGTGCTTGGCACATAATGTTCAGTGGATATCTTCTTGGTAGGGTGACTGAAGTAGTCTGTAGGAGTGTTTTCCACTTTTATTTGCTTCTCTTTTTTTCTGCAGGTTGCTGATCAACTCTGTGCCAAGTATAGCAAGGAATATGGCAAGTTATGTAGAACCAACCAGATTGGAACTGTGAATGACAGGGTAATGAACATACTTGTGAAGCTTGGAGCAACGGGCCGGGTGGGAGTGTGCTGTTTCCTTGGCTGCGAGCGCTAGTGGGTAGTCACTTCATCATCAGGGTGAGAAGGAAGGCTATCTGGCTGACAGTCCAACCAGCGCCTTCTCCCTCTGCTCTTTACCTCTGTTCCTGGTGTTCTGTGTCATTGCTGACTTTCCCCTGTGTCCTTTGTGCCTTCATACATAATTTACCTTTGTGACTAGTGGAGGTAGAAGTAAGATATGGAGAGAAGGGTGGAGAAATTCAACTGTGAAACATAGTATCAGTTTTGGATCAACACACCATGTATAATCAGAGTGTGTGTTCATAGTTGTATATGAGAAAGAGATGGTCTTACAATGTCATTTAGCTTGTTTGAACCTCATTTTTTCTAATTTTACTTGTAAAATGAGAGAACAAAATTTAATTAGATTACGATTAGATTGCTTGGTATAAATGCATTATAACTTATCCCTGGGTCTTTACTTAACAGTTAATGCACAAACTGAGTGTGGAGGCTCCACCTAAAATCTTGGTGGAGAGATATCTGATCGAAATTGCCAAGAATTACAATGTGCCCTATGAACCTGATTCTGTGGTCATGGTAAGTATAGAATGCCCCAGAGGACAAAATAAATTGAGTTTGTACATATAACTTTTGAGAAATGACCGTATTCGTGTTTTGTACATGGGAGGGTAAGCCTTTGTCCCAGTTAGTGCATTTTGGGGTGACAGTAAATATGCCTATGTATCTCATAGGGCATTTAAAGGTCAGATGAGAGGAATGGCTGAATACTGTTTGAGATGGTACAAATCTTGAAGTAATTGTAAAGTGGCATCATTGCTACTTTTCTTTGAACTTCAAGGAATTGGGAGTTCTGCTTTGGATAGCAAGAAAGACTTCAAGACCTGAAACAGTTCATGAAGTACTTATTGGTGTCTACCAAGTTTCAGACAGTATGTGGAAAGCTTAGAATACAGACGTGAATAAAAACAAGATCCCTATCCTGAAGAGGCTTCCATACAGGAGGAAAAATAGCCAGAAGATGATCATTCAACATTTAAGGTTGATGGAGTGTAATGGATGCCTTGATTTTCTGTTCAGACATCCCCACCACATTTTCAGGACAAATGTGTTATTACTCCAGCTCTTGAGAATATTGATGACTCACACACAGCTCAGAAACCCTCCAGATATGGCCCACAGCTGAAGAGAGCTGCATGACCCAAAGTTATAACTCCTTCTTGGATGCACACTGCATCCAGTTATTGGTCAATGCAGGGGTTTAAAGACTGCCCTCTAGTCCCAGTCAAGGACACCTCTGCAGCTCCACCCCAGCTCCAGAATGCCCTAGGGAATCAGCCAGGGCCTTTGTTGTGACTGCATTGCACCTCAGTTTCTTCCTCTGCCCAACTCTCCTTCCTTCACTTTCCCTGCAGGTGTTGCTCTCAAGAGCACTCCTCAGTAAACTTCCTGCATATTCATCTTCACCTCAGAGTCAGCTGCTGGGGGACTGTGGCCTGAGACACCTGATAATGATCTGAGCTTCTCTTTTTCTTAGGCAGAAGCTCCTCCGGGGGTAGAGACAGATCTGATTGATGTTGGCTTCACAAATGATGTGAAGAAAGGTGGTCCTGGAAGAGGAGGAGGTGGTGGTGGTGGGTTCACTGCACCAGTTGGTGGACCTGATGGAACAGTGCCCATGCCTATGCCCATGCCCATGCTATCTCCTGGTCCTCCTTTCTCATACCCACTTCCAAAGGGACCAGTAAGTATACTCATAAATAACATGAGTGAATGTGAACTGTAGAAAATATAATGTCACGTGCTCTCGAGTTGGGTCTGACTCATACTGACCCCTGTATAGGGTTTCCAAGGAGCAGCTGGTGGGTTTGAAACTGCTGACTTTGCGGTTAGCAGTCCAGTGTTTATTTTCTAGTGCCAAAGCAGAACTCTAGAAAGTATAATTTTGTTGTTGTTAAATGCTGTCGAGTCAGTTCCAACCCATAGCGACCCTGTAGAGGGTTTCCAAGGAGCGACTGGTGAGCTCGAATCACTAACCTTGCAGATCATTCTAACTTTGCAGTCTAGCACATTAACCCACAGTGCCACACCAGAACTTTAGAAAGTATAATAGAAATGACAATTCAGAACTGTAAATACACTAAAAAATTATAGGCTGTCAAGAGGATTTAACAGTAAAACATTAGTTACTATTAGTGTAGTGGTGGTTGTGTGCCATTGAATTGGTTCTCTGAGACTTAATCTTTCCTGGAGCAGAAAGCCTCATCTTTCTCCTGTGGAGGAGCTGATAGATTTGAACTGCTGACTTTGTGGTTAGCAGCCCAGCTTGTGATCCACTGTGCTACTGGGGTTCCATATTGTTAGTCTAAAAATCATACTGTGGGAAAAACTATTTTATTACTGGGATTCAGAGATTGTCGTGTGGTTAACTGATGAAGTAAGAAAATCTAGAGAGATGGTGCTGGAGAAGCCTTCTTCATATAGGTGTACTGAACACCTATAGGAACGGTTGCAGCGATGGTAGTACTTTTTCTAAAAATGATTAACTGTCACTATCAGATAGGAAAGCCTTCTTGGAAGACAATTTTCTTGTTAGGAAGAAAGTTTGATTAGACTCTTCCCTTCCCTTATAAACACTGAAGCAGTTGATTTAATAGATTGTAGACTAGTCCTTTGACTGTTGATTTTCAAACACTTAGAATCCTGGCCATATGTGGTCCCTTGGGGGCTTTTTTTTTTTTTTCCTTTGGACTGGGGCTCTTGAATATATATACATTCTGCCCCCTCCACACATGCACAAAACCTGAGAAATCACAAATAGGAGGCAGTGTCTCTGATGTTCCATTTCTCCTCTTGCAGTCGGATTTCAATGGATTGCCAATGGGGACTTATCAGGCCTTTCCTAATATTCATCCACCTCAGATACCAGCAACTCCCCCATCGTATGAATCTGTAAGTGCCTGAGCCTCTTTTATAAGCAGCAGGAGAGTGACTCCCCATGGAGAACAAAATAATGGCCACAGGGAAGGCAAAGTTTTGATCGACTTTTAGTCCTGGCATTAATCTGCTTTGGGGTTCTTGTGTTGCTTTCATACTTCCCTGAAAATGGAAGCGGTGGTGGTGGTGGTGGCAGCATGAGTGGCGGCAATGCTTTGTCTGCAGTTAAGCCAGGAATCAGAACGGAGCCTCACATCTCTTAGTCCTACCAGGATACTTAGTCATTTCTTGATTGGCTAAGTAGAGAATCACATTGGGCTGGTACAGCCTTGATGCTAGAATGTTATCATCATAAAAAATGTTAGTTTTTTAAGTTCTCAACACTCATGTAAAGGAATAATAGTGTTATTAAAGCTTTTGTTTTTAATCTTCAATTTAAGTATCCAGTTAGTAAATTTCAGCCTCTAGCATTAATTTCACATTGACTTTTAGTTATAACTTGCTATAAATGGCTAATAGGGTAATGATACCATGAACTTTAGGTGGTTGTTACAGTTTTGGTTTAGGATCACTTGTTTTTTCTTTTTGCCAGCCTTGTTTACTCTTTTAGTATATGCCTTTTGAGATTCATTTCTATTTGATGTGTTACTCAGAAAAACTGGTATGTCATTTGCAGTGCACATTATTCTTTTAGAAGGGTCTCCCTGTTCCTGAGCTTGCTTAGTGTTTTTTCCTGTGGTTTTTCTCTCCAGCTGATGTGTTTTATGTGGGGCTTGAATTTTTCTTATGCTTTGGCCTTGATGCCTTGCTCATGACTGTCTCTAGGAACTAGGTGAAGATCTTTGTCAATATTTGTGGGTCTGGGTTCTTATCTAAGTTTTCAGTAGTTGAGTACTTCTCTGCTTGAAAGGGGAAGAAAACCAGGTTAAAGTAAGTAGTTTAGGGTATATTAAGAATTTGCATTTTCTCTGCTTTACTATTAAAATTCAACATGGTGTTATGTGGTTGGAGGAGGGTCAGGGAAAAGTACGGGGTTGGAGGGACAGTTTCTTTGGAGCAGTGTGTATTGCTTTTGGTGAGCAGTCTAGCTTTTGGACAACACAGAGGCATTTATAATATCAGTACTTTTTTTCCAGTGATGCTGTTGTCTCTTCTTTAAATCATCTTTGTGTTTCAGGTTGACGTGAATATTGATAAGAATGTCTCTTCTACACAGATTGTTGGTGAGTATGAGTCAAACTCTTAAAGCTCAGTGGTAACCTACCCTGTTAATTCCTCTAATTCCTCCCTCAAAAAGTATTTTCATGTCCATGACATTCTACCCATACACCCTGTCCTCTCCCCAAATGCAATATAGTAAATGTATAACTTGGGATTTCCCTCTTCTAAAACAACGGTTTTCTATAGCTCAAAGATTCCACCAAGCCCTGTTTCTGTCACTGGCAACTATCATTCTTTGAAACTTTTTTTGTGAGTTGGGTAAAGGTTTACTGACAAGATCATCAGTTTTATATTCAATAAATCACACACTTTGTTTCTTCTCAATGATTGCAATCCCCTCCATGTGATAACAGCTGTCCTGCTTCCTCCCTGTGCTTCCTGTTTCCATTCCACCCTCCTTCCCATCCCTTCTCAACTTTGTCCTTAAGTAAATGTTGCCCTTTGATTTTGAATTATTGGCCATCCCTTGGTGAGAAAACCTTATCTAGTGGTGGTGTCTCTCTATATTGTCTATTTCATGGCTGAAAATTGGGCCATGAGGGTGATTTCCTTTCCAGTCCTGAAGGGTAGTTGAGGGCCATAGTCTTGGGTTCCTTCAGTCTCTTTCTGACCAGTAAGCTCATTCTTTTTAATTTTGAGTTTTGTTCCACATTTTTCCCCACTCTATTCAGGACCTTCCACTGTGATCCCTTTCAAAGTAATTGGTAGTGGTAGCTGGGTACCATCTAATTCTTCTGATCTCAAAGTTACGGAGACTGGTGTTTAAATGTTCCATTAGTCTGTTGGACTAATTGACTTCAAGCATCTTCAGGTCTCATCACTCTTTTCTTCTGCACATGGAGAGACCTTAGATAGCCGTTCATGAGCTTTTATATGCTACTTACCAAAGTAGGATATAGAACATTGTGAGACTGTGTTGTACCATTTGACCATGGTGTCTCCTGAGACTATGGTCTTGAGCCCCCGGGCACAGCAACTCATTGCCTTAAGATGTTTGATAATATCTAAGGAGTTTTCTTTATTTTGCCTGCTGTATGCTCCACCACAATCATATTTGTATTTGCAGGAATGGTAAATAGCCATGTATAAGTATCCTCTTTCAGACTCATACATTTGTGGGCATACTTCCACTCTTCCTCCCATATCTATTCAGCTTGTGTCTCTGTCCATGTATCTACCCAAAGAACACTTTTGTTGCAAGGTTGTTAACATGTTGTGTTATTGGGGGCCATTGAGCCAGTACCGACTCATAGTGACCCTGTGAACAACAAACGGAAACACTGCCTGGTCCTATGCCAGTCTCACAGTTGTTGCTGTGTTTGAGCCCATGCTGTTTATCACTGTGCCAATCCATTTCGTTGGGGGTCTTCCTCCTTGTCTCCGACCCTCCACTTTACCAAACATGATTGCTATCCTTCTCTAGGTCCCTCCTGCTAATATGTGTGAAGTATGAGAGATGGAGTCTGGCCATTCTGGCTGTACTTCTTCCAACACAGATTTATTTTTTCGTTCAACAGTCCATGGTACTTTTAATATACTTGAACACCTTATCTCCAATGTATCCATTCTTCTATTTCCCTTATTCCCTGTCCAACTGTCACATGCATGGTGAGGTTACTGAAGATACTATGGCTTGGATCAGGCGCACCTTAGTCCTCAAACTGACATCTCTGCTCTTCAGCATTTTAAAGAAGTTTTGTGCAGCAGATTTGCCTAATGCAGTATGCCGTTTGATTTCTTTACTGCTGCTTCCTTAAGTGTTGATGGTTGATACGAGCAAATTGAAGTCTTTGACAACTTCAGTCTTTTCTGTTTATATGGATGTTGTTAATTGGTCCAGGAATTTTGTTTTCTTTATATTGAGGTGCAACTCATACTGAAGGCTGTGATCTTTGATTTTTATCCTAAGTATTTTAAGTTCTCTTCATTTTCAGCAAGCAAGATTGTATCAGCTACACATGGCAGGTGGTTAATGAGGATTCCTCCAATGCTGATGCCTGTTTTTCTTCATTATAATCCAATTTCTTGGATTATTTGCTCAGCATACAGATTGAATAAATATGGTGAAAGAATACAACCCTGGTGCATACCTTCCTAATTTTAAACCATTTGGTGTTCTCTTTTTCTGTTTGAACATCTTATGTCATGGTTTATGTACAGGTTCCTCATGAGCACATAAATTAAGTGTTCTGGAATACTCATTCTCTGCAGTGTTGTCCATAACTTGTCATGATCTACACAATCAAAAGCCTCTGTGTAGTCAATAAAGCACAGGTAAACATCTTTCTGGTAGTCTCTGCTTTCAGCCAAGATCCATCTGACATCAGCATCTTCTGAATCTGGCTTGAACCTCTGGAAGTTCTCTGTCAATATATGGTTACAGTCATTTTTGTATTATAGTTTGCAAAATTATACTTACATGTGATACCATTGATACTGTCGATTTCCGCATTCAGCTGGATCACCTCTCTTTGGAGTGGGCACAAATATGAATCTCTTCCAGTCAGTTGGCCAGGTAGCTGTTTTCCAAATTTCATGGCATAATCATTCTGTTGGAAGATTTCAATTTGTATACCATCAATTCCCGGTGTCTTGTTCTATGCCAATACCTTCAAAGGAGTTCTTGGACTTCTTCCTGTATCATTGGGTTGTTTATATAACACTATTTAACTGTATCACCCTTAGTCCTGTCTCTTTACCTGTCTTTTTCATTATTCTGCAAGCCTCCCTCTTGTATGTTGCCCTCCCGGTCACCAAGTTAGTATGTGTCTACCCTCCCACCCCAGGTAACCATCAAGAATGAAAATCTTGAGTTCTTAGAATAGCGGTCTCATATTATATTTGTCCTTTTGTGATTGACTAATTTCACTCAACATATTGTCCTCCAGGTTCATCTATGTTATGAGGTGCTTTACAGATTCTTCGTTACTCAACATTGCAGAGAATGCCATTGTGTGTATATACCAAAATTTTTTTCATTCATTCTTCCATTGATGGGCATTTAGGCTGTCTCCATCCCTTTGCTTTGGTGAATAGTGCTGTGATTATTATTATTATTTTGTTGCGTATTATCTACTCCTGTCCTGGCTTTTATTTCTTGTGATTATATACTGACTAGAGGGACAGTTGGGTTGGTCATACGGTAGTTCTGTTTCTAACTTTCTGAGGAAGCGCCATATTGTTTTCCATACTGTGACTCAGCCATGTCACTCCTAATTATCTTCCAGTTTTTCAGTCACGATCACTTGCTTTATTTATGCTTCTGCTGCTTCAACTTTCATTGTCCATTTGTATTTTTTTAATTGGGGTGTTAAGAGGAGAAAATATGCACAATTTGAGGATGTACTACTCAGTAAGTTTTTCACAGAGCAAAATATTATCCAGAGTGGATTATATTTTTTCACAGAGCAAGAAATCCAGAGTGGGGTTTTTTTATTTTTGTAAATTGGAGACAGTTGTTCTATTTAGTATACTTGTTAAGTGCCGTCAAGTCAATTCCAACCCATAGGGTTTCCAAGGAGCAGCTGGTGAGCTTGAACCACAACCTTGCAGTTCAAATGACTTTGCAGTCTGACGCATTAGCCCACAGCGCCACACCAGTACATATACAATAAAACACAAAGATTTTAAATACATAGTTTGGTGAGTTTTGATAACTGTAATTATAGGTACCCACCACTCTGATGAAGATACGGAACATTTCCTTCATCCTGTAAAGTTTCCCATATTTCTTTCCAACCAGCTTTATCCCACTTCCAAAAGATAACCACTGTTCTGATATTCCATGTTGTTAGCTGTCATTGAGTCAGCCACCAACTCATGGTGACCCCAAGCACAACACATCAAAATGGGTCTGTGCCATTCCCATGAATGATTGTAGGTCCGATCATTGATCTTCCATAACTATAGTTTGCCTGTTCTAGAATTTACATAGAAATAGATGCATGCAGTAGATTGGGGTGAGGGAGCTAATTTTAAATTATAAGATCTAAAACCGAAGACTAAAAGTACAGTTCAGGTTCTGTAAATCAGATAAATATTGTCATGCTTTATACAGAAGTTTTTCCTAAGTTTTAAGAGTGGTTTTTGTTGTTAAGGAAATTTCAACAAAATTCTAGTGCCACCCTTTGAACTTTGTTGTTACAGAAGTATACCTTTGTGAAGAGGTACACTTTTTTTTTCCTTAAATGTTTTATTGTGCATTATGTGATAGTTTACTTGGGAGAACATTAGTTTTACATTCATTCTTTCGTATATCGTCTCATTGCCATGGTTATGATCCCCTCCATGCAATCCTTCCCCCGTACCCCCCAGGTCTTCAGCACACAGTTGCTCTCCCTCTCTGGATATAAAGTCTCCAGCTGCTCCATCGCTC